TCAATAGTCATTTGATGAAGGAGGTATGCAAGCAATTTAAAATTATGCATCACCATTCTACCCCTTACCGGCCAAAGGCCAATGGAGCCGTTGAAGCGGCGAACAAGAACATCAAGAAGATTCTTAGGAAAATGATCAAAGGTTCCAGACAATGGCATAAAAAGTTCCCTTTTGCTCTTTTGGGATACCGCACGACTGCTCGCACATCTGTTGGTGCAACTCCTTATCTATTGGTATATGGGACGGAAGCTGTAATACAGGTTGAAGTCGAAATTCCCTCTCTTCGAATCATTGTGGAGTCGGATATTGAAGATACATAATGGGTAAAGACCCGATTAGAATAACTAATGCTGATTGATGAAAAATCGCTAGCAGCAGTGTGCTTTGGCCAGTTATACCAGCAAAGAATAGCACGCGCTTACAACAAGAAAGTGCATCCAAGGCACTTCGAGGTAGGCCAACTCGTTCTGAAATGCGTTCTTCCACACCAAGTAAAAGCTAAAGGAAAGTTCACCCCAAACTGGAAAGGACCCTACATCATCAAGAAAGTGTTACCAAAAGGGGCCTTGCACTTGGTAGATGAAGAAGGATGGGTACCAGACATGACTATTAATGCAAATGCAGTCAAAAGATATTATGTCTGATATATACCCACTGTGGAACTTTCACGCATGATTTTCTTAGATTGAGATGACGAAGGCTACCATTGCTCGCTATTCCAAGAAAGTGTCACCCTTTTTGTTACCCCTTTTAAGCTGTATTTTTCTTCTTCCTTATTTTTCACTTTTTGGAACCTGTGTTCTTCCCAAAAAAAAAAGTCAAACAATAAATTTTCTGAGTCATTGAACTACGTCCGACCTAATTCCGTAAGGATACGTAGACAGCCTTACCCTGGGTTCGGTCCCATCGCAACAAAAATCCATATTACCAATACTCCAAAATTGGGGCAGAAGTTTGTTTTTATCTTACGGTTTTTCTTATAGAAACAGTTCTAAAAGTTGTAATTCAGTTCAAGGTTCTTTTCGCCTTTTCCTGTAAAGAACTTCTGATCAATCTTTGAGAATACTTGAAGTCCACATGCCAGGGGCATTGGCCAACCTTCCGTGTGTCGTATCTTAGTAAAAACAAAAAGTAAAGAAGAAATGAGAGAGTCTTATTAATGAAAACCCGTATGGGCACTGTAAGGCGACAGTAAGAAAAGAAATGTGAGAGTCTTATTGGTGAAAACCATATGGGCACCATAAGGCGACAATGATTAGAGAAATGAGAGAGGTCAGTTAGAAAAAACCCGCAAAGGGCGCTACTAGCCGAATGAGGGTCTTCGATGCTCCGGCATGAGCACAACTAAGACGGTTTCAAGATGAACATTTGTGACGTATTTTGAGAATTAGACAGCTCAAACAGATCAGGCGTCCAGTCAAAAATGCATGTCATTATTCATTGAAGTCGGCACATATCTCCAGATAAGTCTCCTTATTTCTCTCCCCGAAAGGGACACCTTTTATTTAGACACAATTCCTTTTTCACTTCTAATTGCTCTTCTATTCTTTTCCATAATTTTTCTTAGATTCCCTTTCGGTCTAATCTTGCATCAAAAGCAAAGCAAAAACTGGATTTAAAACTGGCTACAGTTTCCCCGTAATATCGAGCATAATTTGGACCAAATACGGCATTGACGGAAGCAGGAATCCATCTATGATCTCTTTTGATAAGGCGGACAAAGTGTCTCAAAGAAACTGAAAAGGTCGCCTAAGCAAGACTTGCTTCATGGGAAAAGTTGATAAGCACTACAGACAGAAATTTGTTCTGGGTGCAAGACAACTAAATTTGATTTTGAAGGAAAATTGCCTTGCCTTAGGGACAAGGATTAGCGGTACCATGGACATCCGGGTATGAAATAGCCAGGGGAAACGTAAGAAAGACAATGTCTCTAGAAAGCGATACAGAGTATCCGAGAACCTCGGTACCACACTGACAAAATCAGTTCTTCGACAGCGGAGGGGTGAATTCAAACTACTCAGGGCATCAAGGCCACAAACTGACCACCACTTTAAAAACTCACAAATTTTTCTTTGTTTGAAGCAGGATCAAAGTAGTGCAGAATGGCGATTCTCAAAGGGCGAATGTCACCGAAGGTAAGTTTCCTCAAAATCGCCACTTTCCTTTATTTGCAGTGTGCATCATTACTGTCCATACCTCCCATTTTTGTAGCTTAAACTAGGTAGAACATTTTCGCCTAGGGGGGTCCAGCACATAGTTCTGGGTAAAAGTACTATTCGCTCAGGATGTTTTACGTAGTTTAACACAGGTAGAACCTTTTCGCCTAGGGGGATCTAACTCATAGTTTCCGGGTAGAAGTACTCTTAGCTCAGGCTATTTTTTGTAGCTTAACCCAAGTAGAACCTTTTCGCCTAGGGGGATTCATCTCATAGTTCCGGGTAGAAAGTATTCGCTCAGATGTTTTACAGTAGCTTAACCCAGGTAGAACCTTTTTTGCCTAGGGGGATCCAGCTTATATTTTCAGATAGAAGTACTCTTCGCCCATGTTTGTTTTTCATAGCTTAACCCAGGTAGAACATTTTCGCCTAGGGAGATCTAACTCATAGTTTCCGGGTAGAAGTACTCTTCGCTCAGGCTATTTTTCGTAGCTTAACCCAGGTAGAACCTTTTTGCCTAGGGGGATTCAGCTCATAGTTTTGGGTAGAAGTACTCTTCGCTCAGGTTGTTATACGTAGTTTAACCCAGATAGAATCATTTCTCCTAAGGGGTTCCAGCTCATATTTTCGAGTAGAAGTACTCTTCGCCCATGTTTGATTTTCGTAGTTTAACCTAGGTAGAACATTTTCGCCCAGGGGATTCAGTATCCTTTCAGTAATACAAGGTGCCAGCCCCTGGTTACACTCCTTTATGTAATACAGGGTACCAATCCCAGGTTACGCTCCTTTCAGTAATACAGGGTGCCAGCCCTTGGTTACACTCCTTTCAGTAATACAGGGTAGCAACCCCTGGTTACACACCTTTCAGTAATACAGGGTGCCAGCCCTTGGTTACACTCCTTTCAGTAATACAGGGTAGCAACCCCTGGTTACACACCTTTCAGTAATACAGGGTGCCAACCCCTAGTTATACTCTTTTATATAATACAGGGTACCAACCCCTGGCTACACTCCTTTCGGTAATACAGGGTACTAACCCCTGGTTACATTCATTCTCAGTAATACAGGGTGCCAACCCCTGGTTACACTCATTTCAGTAATACAGGGTACCAACTCCTGGTTACACTCCTTTCAGTAATACAGGGTGCCAACCCCTGGTTACACTACTTTATGTAATAGAGGGTACCAATCCCTGGTTACACTCATTTCGGTAATACAGGGTACCAGCCCCTGGTTACATTCCTTTAGGTAATACAGGGTACCAACCCTTGGTTACACTCATTTCGATAATATAGGGTACCAACCACTGGTTACATTTTCTTTCGATAATACAGGGTACCAGCCCCTGGTTACATTCCCTTTTCAGTAATACAGGGTACCATCCTCTAATTCCATTTCCCCTTGTAACATAAGTTACTTCCCCTCGTGGTTGCATATCCCCACATCGTTAGTTTATACTACTCCCGTTGTCTTCATTTCAACAAATTAGATACTTTATAGCTTTCTCTAACTCACAAAATTTTTCTAGCGCCAAATTGGGGCAGAAAAAATTTGTTCGTTTTGTTCGTCTTTGATGGCTTTGCAGGCCCCGCCGCATAGCACAAGTGATGATTAAAGCTTGCAGTTTCAGCTTTTTCATCAGAATAAAGAAGTTTTTCGGTCACAAGATAGTTGGAGTTAGCTTGAATAATGTGTCAGCAGCCCAGCTTCTCGAGTTTCATTTTCTCGAATTCTTATCCGGAAAGCAAGCAATCGAGAATGAGCCATGATCGTTTCCTCAAAGAGCATCAAGATCCAATCTAAGGTCAACACAAGCGAGCAGGTCAAGAATCAATATTTGACTCCACAAGACACATAGATTAGGAATTTTGTAACTCTTAGTTTGCAGACATATGTAGTTCTTTCTCTTTTCATTTTGATGTAAGCAGCACGTAACAGTAACAGCAACAACAACAGTAACATCAGTCTTAAATCTAGTGTCTGGTAGTCCCAGCTACCAAATTTTCCCATAACTACACTGACCTGATTCCTCTAAACAAGGATATGTAGGCAACCTCGGAAGCAGGGTTTGGTCACAATTTTAAAAAAAATGCTTTCATTGGAGTGATATGTGAGCAAAAATTAGCCATGGCTTTCACTTTTCTTTGCACGAAAACTCTTCATCTTCTCGAGCAAAGAGGGGCAGCTGTGAATACTTAGTTTTTGTACTGTTTTAACACCTCCTAAAGTCATTAGTGTTTTGTTGCTTTAATTATATTTTCCAATTTTTGTGTCTTTGATTGCATATTTCCTATCATAAAAATACCAAAAAAATAGTTCTTTCTTTATTTGTGCATTTTAGGAATTAACTAACTATTCAATTGATGAATTAATCTAGTTAATTGATCATTTGAATAAGTTACTTAATTAATTTATTTGTTTGTATAAATTTACTTTAATAAGTAGGATTAAGAAAGAAATTGGGTCAAATTTGAAAGAGAAAGTGGCCAAAAGTGCAAGATAACGGGCTGCCCTTGAAAGGGTCTGAAACGACATAGTTTTGCCTCAAAACTACGTCATTTCATTAAGTGACCTAAGATCAAATCTCACCCATTGATCACCTCTTGATCTAATGGTCCATATTTGATCTCTCAAGAGGTATTTAAAGCCTCAAAAATCTGAAAACATTCCCTCATTTCCCCCATAACTCTTTCTCTCTTCTCTCTTCTCTCTCTCTCTTCTCTCTCTTCTCTCCGCCGCCGCCGGAAATCACCCACCGGCGGCGGACCACCTCCAAACACCTCTAAATTAATACCATGTAATCTCCACAACCTCCTCTTCCCATATCTCTAAACCAATTCCTTCAAAAATCCCTCAAACTCCTTGAATTTTAGATCTAGGAAACTTTAGCCGCCACTTTTTGGTCCAAATTCTTGAAGCTCCGGCCAACACCACCCTACAACACATACATGAATGGATAGAGCTCCACGAGACCTATCTTTTCCTACCCATTTCATCCCCAAAATCCCCGTCGTCGCCGACCCGCTCCTCACCGCCGCCACGACTCCACTGCCTCACCACCGCCAAAATGCCCCGAACCCCCATCTTAGCTATTTTCTACTCAAAGACACTCATTTCTTTTGGCGAGAAGCTGGAACGCATTTCGTTTTAGCATCTACCCGAAAGAAACGTGCTTTTCGGAGTCGGGTAGTCGCCTTTTAGCATCTCCGACGTCTTCTCGTGGCTCGAACAGCTTCAAGCATACTTGTTAGGTATAACCGTCATCTCTTTAATTAATTTCTGATTTTTTATATTAGTAGATTAGTTTCTGATTTTTAATTTTTTCTGTTTTGGTTGTTTCTTGTTAATTAGAGTTTCAAGTTAGGTTTATTTAATTAGTTATCTCTATTTAGTTTAGTGGTTTGTTAGATTTGTTATTGATTTAAACATGATCAAATAAAGTCCCTTTTTCAGGCTGTCCTTTCACCTTTGGGACAGATCTTGAACAGTGTTTAGCACATAAAGTTAGTCTTTTGGATAGATTTTTGGTGAACCAAAATCTGTCCCAAGAAAGGGACTTTATTTGCCTATTTAAGGAGGCTTACTCACTGAAAAGGAACACACACTCTATTATACACTCTGATCTTACACTTAGACATCTCTCACTCTAAGAAAAATACACAACGAAGAGAGTGAAAAGTTCAGTTGAACATATCTAATATAAGCTGAAAATTGAGTGGTTTGAAGAGATATTCTGGAGAGCAAAAACTTTTCATATCAAATACTAGAATCCTTGAAGTTCTGGTTTCTGGTTTTCCTCAAAAGTACTGAATTTTGGGTCATCTTTCTGGATATTTTCTGGGGTCTGTTCTCTGCTGTTTTGTTGCTGAAAGGAGCTGTGTTCAAGTAGTTTTTACTGGTATCGAAGCCCTTTCTGTTTTGTCTTGATTTTGCTGCCGGTAAGGTACTCTCTCTTACCTTTGCGATGTAGATTTGAATGCAACAAATGACGAGATAATATCATGAGCTCGCTCCAGTTTATTTTAAATTTATTTGCTATTGGTTTTACTCGAAAGGTGCATACTATTTCGGTTCTGAATATCTGTTAAATTTGTCAGTTCTCAATAACATGCACTTGAGCCCCATATTAGTCAATATTGAGTTACTTAACTGTTATGAGATAAGAATTTACTTCAAAAGTTTAGAAAAAAGTACTTAATATTTGAGTTGAAAATTTGTGCATGGTGGAGTTAATGTTTGAGTTGAAAACCTGTGCATGGTGGAGTTACGCTTTTAGGAGCATTTTATTGGTCCTTTTTGGCCCAAGCTTCGTTCTCTTTTCTGACTTTGAGCTTTTGTTAGCTTGCTTATAATTTCTTTTTTAGATTTTAGTTTGTCTTAATCAAATTTCTTGTTTTGATAAGTTCAAAGTTTAAGGTATATTATTATGTTGAAAGATCATGATTAGACATATAAAATTTATTGGGTCTAATCCATATAAAAATTGGATTAAATTCAATTGGGTTAAATAATTAATTTGAGCTTTACATGTTAAATTTGTCCATTTTATTATTTTCGAGCCCAAGGTTCATTTCATCTTAAGGCCCAGATTCATGCCATGTGTCAAGTGACATGATTTATTTAGTCAAACTGTATGCCAAAAAGATGACACCACGTGTTAAATGATGTGGCAATCTAAGTCAAAAAGCAAGAACCAACCACATGTCATCAAGTGGCTTAAAATGGCATGGGCCAATCAGAATCAAGCAAGAGAGTTCATGTGTAGCTGGACTGTCCATCCTCTACAACTATAAATAGAGGGGTTGCATAACTCTCAAGACATTCAGAGTTGGAGAAAAACACTTCGCAATTGGTGAAGGCATCCACAAACAGAGAGATCAGTCATCAAGTGCATAGTTCTTCAACAAAGGAGTGATCAACGGAGTTCTTCCCGGAGATCAACCCGTAACAACAAAGTGCTGCTCAACGTTCTTGGCGATTAAATATATCACAAGGAGGTCTGCATCGCCCTACATTCGAGAAAGACGCTTCTCAAGCCCTCGAATCATTTTAGAGAGGAGAATCAAGGGATACATAGAATTGTACTCACAAATATTTATCAATAAAATCTCTTTTTCTTCATATTATTTTTGTTGCAGTTTATTTTCTGGACTACGAAAATTTGTTGCGAACAATTAGCTATCTCATTATTTTAGTATAAAATTTATTTCAGGATTAACTAATACTTATAATCAAACATGGGATAAATATAATCCTGAATTATATCCTGAAATTATTATCGTTATCCCATATACCAAACGAAGTCTTAAGGCATCGTCGAGTTATGGGGATTACCAAAAGCAATACCAGTACAAATCAAGATAAAATTTATATTTGATTGTGGGTATATATTATTTCAAATCAAGATAAAATTTATAGCAAAAGCTTGGGATTAACTATCCTATATAGGAGTTGTTGATTGAACCAAACCACTCCTGGAGGAATATAATTAAGATATATATACAGACTACAGTAGTTGACAAGTTTCTTAGCACATATATATATAAGTGAATCTCTTGTATATTTAAATGTAATAATTGCATAGTCATATTCTTCAACCACTCTATTTGCCTTATTTTGAAATTCTTCCTCAATGATTGGCGTATTTAATTTAATTACAATTTCTTTTTCAGGCATCCATAGTCAAACACTAACAATCGTTAAGTATTCAAGCATGCATGCCTACGTGGATAAAATTTATGCAATTCACTAACCATTTTTTGGACAAATTGACTTGCCAATAATGCAGCAATGCCCCTCCCCCCTAATTTTATTTTATTTTTCTTCTTTAGTTTGATACTACAAAAAACAATAATTACACCGCAGTTACAAACAAATTTGAAGTGACTATAGGTTATATGAATCCTTAATGTTATCATTCTTGTGAAAATTTGTCTCGGTTCAATTTTGTATTGCAAAACAAATTATAGGTATAAAAAGTAGTAAAAGATTATTTCCGCATTTTCTACAGGCATAATCAGCACTTCTTTAGCTTGGTACTTTTGCTATATAATTTGATAAATTATTCGTTCGTAACTAAGCAGATAAAGTACATTATATATATGGGCGTATCCAAGGTATGGGGTGTGGATTCACGAGAACCATACTCTTCTCTTATGGTGCTAATAGGCATTGGGTGCACGTCTAGGTTGAAGGTACAATTCCTATGCCTATCTTGTGTTTTAATTAAGTACTCTCTTTTTTGTCTTTCTTTTTATATTTGGTTTATTGTTTCAAAATCCTCAAGTTTAACACATTGAAATCTCGATTCTTTTTATTTAATTTTAAAACTTTATAATTGAACCAAATGTTTATATTACATCTAGTAGTAATGGAAGATGTAGCATATAGTCAATGGTTTAACTATTCATCCCAATATTTTCTTAATTAAATATATATGTGTGAAAAATTATAATTTTTAAAATAATAATTTGAACCTATAATATAAGAATGTATAATGAATTCAATGGTAAGAACCTAAAGAGTTGAATTATCAAATTTTAATATGAATTCGCATATTCATAATAGTACACTCATCCTCGTGAAATTCTGGATCAACATCTGATTACATAATTCAGGGATTAACTACTTACCTAATAGGTAAGGTAGACGTTAAAATGTTCTCAAAATAGAAACTATTGGGTAAAAACAATATAATAAACTGTTGTTTGCATTGTTTTATAAATTAAGAACAGATTAGAATCACCTTTTATGTTGAGGTAGAGAAGCAAATCACATGGAGCACTATAAGCAACATAAGTAATGGAATTTGCTTTTTGATTTGGTTCCATGTGCAGGAATTTATTTCCAGATATATGTCAACTTTGTTTAATTTTAGAAATTTAGAATTCTATCCTTCATTATTTCTCACTAAAGAACGATTTTTTTTTTTTTTTTTTGCTGAATGGATTTCAGTTCCAGTTCTGGACTACTATAAAATTATAATTTACAAAATAGGATCAATCTAAATGTAGTTGATAAAGTTGTAAAATTCCAAATAGAAAAAGTGAAAAAAGAAATGGATTCCATGTTTTGAAAGTTTTTTCGTTGTATGACTCTATTGTGAAATGAGCTTCCTCCACCTTAGAGAAAAGGAAACTGATGTTCGGGGGGG